CTCCCAATCAGCACTAACATAATGAGCAACCACAGATATATAATCATCTTTAGCATTACCAGACCAAATATCAGATGTCAAAGAAACAGAAGATGCAGCAGGCAACATAGATTTCATAAGCATATCACGTTGTTCATCAAATAGTTGAGACATATCTCTAGTGGTGGTCTGCCTAGAAACCTTTTGGAACAGAGGATTATGAGCACGCTTAATGTAATCCTCCCAAGCATCAGTCTCACCTATCCCTAAAGGAAGGTCTAGCCTAGCAATCAAACGGCACAACTCAGTGCGAGCAATCAAAGGATCATACATCCAATTGTTCAAACCATCAGGATTCAGAGCAAGCTTAGACTGGACAAGACTAGCCTGATCATGTTTTTTCATACAAGAATTCATGTGCCGTCTCAAATGGCTAGTGCCAGCGGCTGATCTAGCAGTGTATCGCGCATGACAATGTTTACAGATGGCACGTACTCGAATTCCCTTCTCCTTAATCTCATGGAAGTAATCCCAAACAGCAGAAACTTTCTTACCAGAGGAGGTACCATGAGTGTCAGTGGATACCTCAACTCCACCATCGTCGTCGTCGCCATCGACATCGATGGGCTGGTTGCCGTCACCGAGGTCGACGCCGAACAGACCGGCTGCATCATCACGTATGTCGTCGTCGTCCTCGACTTCCAGTAGGTCATCCGCATACGGCGCCTGGTCCTCGCCGTTGTCGAGGGGATGCTGATTCTCCCCCCGCGTTGCGAGGCCAGAACCCCCCGCGGATGAGCCGGACAGCCGTGCCTGACCTCGACCTCCAGCAGCACCAGCACCGCCCCTCAACGGGAGCTTGGGTGGCCTGGCCATGTCTACTCCAGAGGAGGAAGACGCGGCGTCAGGCGCCAACCTGCACGCAAGAAGAAGTTAGAAGAAGAAGTGAAGAAGTGAGAAGAAGACGAAGAAGAAGTGAGAAGAAGAAGAACAGATGACAGATCTAGGGTTAGGGTTAGGGAAGAAGTCCAACCTATGTACCCGGAGCCCGGTGCCGGTGATGAAGAGGCCAGCCAAGCAGCGGATGAGACAGACAGACACGGATTAGAATCGACGGTGAGGTGGTGGAGGAGGAGGGACTGCCATGAACACTCACATGGTTCACTGAGAGGGGAGTGAGGGAGTGAGAGTAGAGGAAAAGGAGGGAGAAGGAGACGGCGGGGAAGCAGGGACCAGGGAGGAGCGCCGGCGCGGTCACCGCTCACCGGTGACGGGGAGGACGGACGAACATCGGCGACGATGGATCTGGATCGAGAATGGGAGAGCAGAGCGAGAGCGAGAGACTGAGAGAGCCACGGCGGGGGAGAGGATTAGGTTAGGGTTTGGGAGGGGGATGCGCCGCGGCCGGACGACTTATATACGACGAGGGGAGAGGGGTGCGTGGGGTGGGCCGGCGGCCTGCCTTCGTGGCTTCGTGGGCCGTTTCTCCGACCGGGCCGCATCATGCACCGTGCCGTACCACGGGCCAGGCCGGCGGCCCAGGCACGGCCCGGGCCGACACGGGCACAGCGGCCACTGGGCTAGGCCAAAACAACAGGCCACGGGCCGGGCCGGCGGGCCGCGGGCTGCATGGCCAAATATATCTTGCATGATGCCTTTTTTGTTACTTTCGCTTGCTAACCATTGAATCGGTACATACCTCATCATTTATTAAACAAATTTTATTTGGAAAGCCTTATAAGATTGTCAAAATGAGCAATAATATGGCAATTTAGCCACTCTACAAAGAGTGATATATTTTCTATGCGCATTTTTTCCCTTGCTGATTGTGCTGAACTGCTGTGATGACCCTTGCATAGCAGCTGGACGTTTCTGCAAAACAAGGCAATCTGATCTGGCGATCCCTCATCCGGTTCAATTTAGTTAATTTAGGTAAATATAATCTTTATTTACTGTGCTACTCCACATCATCGTGCAGTTTAGTGTTAAACCATGAAGCATTTGTCATTTGTAGTTGTCTCCTCACCTCACAATACGTCCTGGGCAAGATAACTCGGAAATGTTGTGCACCAAGCTAAGACTATCTACTTTTAACTCATTCACAGGTAACCTTCCAAGAATATATTGTTGTTTTGCATACTTAAATCTGCTCTTTTTTCACATAACAGGCCTTCATGCCATGATGGGTGACCACACCTTAAATATTGTTTTGCTTTTGGTTGCTAAACCATTGGCATCAAAGTTGAAGAATTAGACTAACCAGCGAGCTAACAACTTTTTTCATTGTGTTCCCCTTACTAATAGGCTACTTCAACTGCCCCTTGATGAAATGACCAGACACCAAGGTGCTAGGCGCCAGCCTGAAATAATCTCTACTCAGGACTAATTACTTCAATTACACTTCTGTGCATGTGTCAAACATTGGGCTTTCACAGAAGTCTATTTTTCATTCATTCTTCTGTATATTATGCTTACAACAACCTGTAACTTAAGCTTTTATGATACTTCGGCATCTTAATCAACAACTACGATATTCATACATGTAATGATATTAGCCCATTGCTTTTCTTGCCCGCGCAACGCGCGGGGGTACTGGCTAGTTCTTATTACAACCTGCCACCACCATCTCCAATAACCAACCTCAGACTTTTTTTTCCCAAGTATAAGAGCATATTTTCTAGTGCATATACCCAAAATAAAAGTACGTTAATTATTTTGATTGTTGTCATTCCCACACTTCTTCACCTCTCTCACTCCCTTCTCGCTTTAACCTTGTGCGGGGTCCAAGGTCTATCATATGCCTTTAACCCTGTGTGGGGTCCATTGGTCTAAGGCCTATGTCATCGATTATAGTTTGGAGCTGCAAGGTTTTCTAGTGTGGCACCGCAGGGGGCGGATTTGTTGGTCGCTGGAGGTGCAGTTTATCTGTGCGTTAAAAAAAATCTCCTCGTCTGTCCTACGTCAAAGCATAGGTCTAAGACCAGCTTAGTCTCACGGGAGCTGCGGTGCCGTTGTATATGTATATGGGTGGGGCAGAGATTCGGGAGTTTTCTCGACCTGCGTGAGAAGGTCTTCTTCTTAAGCACAATGCCCGAGGACTTCCCCGCGAGTCGAGTTTTGCAAGCGAACGCTAGACCAGTTGGTCTGGCTGTGCGCTTTGCACCCAGCCGGCCAGAGTTCGAACCCTGTCGGGGGCGGATTTGTTGGCCGGAGGAGCCGCTGTTCATCTGCGCGTTGAAAAAAATCCCCTCGTCTGCCCCACGTCAAAGTACAGGTCTAAGGCCAGCCAGTCTTATGGGAGCTGCGGTGCCGCTGTGTATGGGTGGAGTAGATGTTCGGAGGTTTTCTCGACGTGCGTAAATGTCTTCTTCTTAAGCATAATTCTTAGGGTTGTCTTACCCCCACTGGTCGAGTTCTTTTTAATATCGTGGCCTAACCAGCCAGGCTCAAACCTGAGCTGTGTTGCAAGTCGGCATGGCTCGGCACGCGTGTCGGTGTTTGGCTCGCCTTTCATATTTTTTAACCTCACAACACGTGTACACGGTAGCTATCTATTTGAGCTGAGTCAATTTTGCATATAGGCTCAATCCTTTATCTCACCTAGCATTTATTATGAACATAAATATATATTTGATTTAATTAAAATATAAGGTTCGATCAAGGTCATTTAAGCTCAACAAAGATAGCTGAACTGCCTAACAAGCGGTTTGTCCGGTAGTAACGTACTACGATGTTTCATACCATCAATAAGTAAAATTTATGTACATAGATTTTGTTACGCACTTAGATATACATTATGTTTAAATACACAGTAAAAGCTATATATCTAGAAAAGCTAGAATGACTTACACTTTCAAACGGAGAGAATACAATTCTACGTTTGAGATTAGTCAAACTTTCTCAAATCGTTTGACCTATTTTATAGGTAAAAATATCAGTACTTATGTCTCTATATATGTTTACTATAAAAATATATTTCATAACTAATCTAATGATGCTTATTTGATATAGAAAATTTTAGTAACTTTTTTTGAATAGAGGCGATCAACTTCTTGAGAATTGTGAATTGCATTCTTTTTTGGGACAGGGAGACTACTCGCTCGTACCTCGTACCCAAATCCTTTGCTTCCCTTGCCTTGTAGAAAATTCTAGCATCTTCCTCCTACCATCTATTTCCCTTGCTTTATATTTATTTTGAATTCTATCTCAGTTGTATCCGATTGCCTATACATTTTGGTGTTTGTTAATAATGGCCTGAAGTGATTCGGTTGCTAAAAGTACAGCGGCAGCACATAGAAGTGTCCCAGCGTGTTGCCGTTGTTCCCCGTAGTCAAGAAGACAAAATCGTAGCAAGGAGATGCATGCCCTTCTTGCTCTATGTTACTCACTCACTATATCCAAATACTAGTATCCGAGGTAAACGTAAAAAAATAGTAGTCTACAAGAACAGAAGAGCAAAAAGAAAGGCATGCATGATCTGTTCTAAACATCTCCACGGGCTTACATATCGAAATTGGCCCGCTTGCATTGGATAGGTCCGGTCTCTTCACAGAAGATTCAAACCAATCTGCCTTGAACATATAAAAAAAACACTAAGTAAAATTGTTCTGTACTATTGTATTGTATCCATAAACTTACCGGGCCTACATATCACATTTGAAAGGTGCATTATGCTTTTATTACAAAATCTAAGCTATATGGTACATACAGCAAACCCATTGAATACCCCCTACTGCTGTCTTTTTGCTTTAAGAAGAAGTGCTACTGATAACATTGGGCGACTAAAAATCAAGGAAGACATTCGTTAGTGCTTGCTTTTACAAAGTTATAAACAAGCAAACAAAGGGATAGACAGTGAGGTTGGTGTGACGACCAGCATCAGAAATGGAGGGACCACGTGGAAAGGAATGAGGAACCTATTCTATATCCCTTTCAAGGGGGCTTTTTAAGGCAACGGTGGAGAGCTTGAGTGGCAGTTCGTGGTCTGGGTTTGCTGCTCTGTTTTCTTCAGAGCAGCAGCCATGGAGAGGATGAAGAAACCATGCCTTGGCGTCACCCTGCTTCTCTTCTTGCTCCTGGTGTCTGCTGCCCATGGAGCTCAGCTTGCAGATGCCAAGGACGTAGCAGGTATGCGAGTTTTGCTCGTTCTCAGGCTAAAAACTCGGGGCTGTATTTAGTTTGTCTTCCATGTATTGTATTACTTTTGTTTCTACAGCACTGCCACTAGCTTTCTGTGATTCAGTTCATTTAGGCCAAAAAAAAAAAACTTGAATTGGAACCCCAAAAGGCTGGTTTGAATTGAACTCCAGAAAGGTGGTTTGAATTGAACCCCAGAAAGGTGGTTTGAATTGAATCCTAGAAAATTGGTTTGAATTGAACTCCCAGGATGCTGAAACTGTGGAAACACAAGAAAGATAGTTCTAAAGACACAATGTCCTGCTCACTCTTAATGCTTTTAGGATAGCGTTCTCAGTTCTTGAGGAGTGCGTACAAAGCATGGTTGGCCTAGGAGAGTAGCAGCATAACCTTGTAAATTAAGGCACATATGTTTAGCTGATTTTTTTAGATAAGCTATGTTTAGCTGATAAAATAAATATACTTGTATGCTAGGACACCATCATGCCCCCACATCTTTTGGCCAATTGCTTGCAACTAGCTAAGGATATATATAGACGCACATATGCTTTTTGTTTATCAGTGAAATGATTGGTTTTATGAAAGAACAAGTAGTATGAAATGCGGATGCAGTCTTGTGGAGAACTGTTGTGTTGTAAATTACTCCGTAATATGATGCTGCAGAACTTTGGCGCAAAGGCATCTATGGTATCAGTTGTAATATGATAGGTTAACATGTTCAAACTTCAAAAACTTCTATTGCATAGGTATATCCCCCCACCCCCCCTGTTTGCATTTCTATGCTGTAATGCCTGTCTAATGAAATCTGGATACCAAGTTAAAAGAAAGTGAGTCAACACCTGATATGTTGATCACTTAAAATAATTCTATACCCTCTTTAGAAACTAGAAATACAAAAGGAATTTAATAGACAGCATATAGTCTTTTCTCACAATCAAACAAAAGTAGTTCCAATTGAGGCCTAAACCTTATGACTCTGAAGAAGATTTGTGCAACTCTGAAGAGAAAATATATATGAAACAAAAACAAACATATCTTGGACTCTGCTGAGGTGTCCAGACGCCAAATGCAGATCGGAGGCCCCTTCTCTATCACAGATGCTCTGTCGGTCTGCCCTGTCCATGTGTGGTGAAAGATATGATTCCCTGCATTCCAGGATGCACAACCCACACGTTAATTAAGGATACTTATTCCTTCCTGGTGCCCGCCAATGGCATAAGAAAGCGATCCGGTGTCACAACCGATTTTAAGGATAAAATATATGCAAAATTTTATGTGCGTTCAGAGATCAGTCACACACATAAGTCGACAAATTATTAATTGTATCATCACAAGTGTTTATTACACCATAAATAATAAGACAGAGTCTTCACGTAAATATAGCGGAAGTATAAAGATAAATCTCTAGCGGAAGCTCCATATCACAGGGACGTCAACTGGTTAACCACAAGTCTAGTAGTTCACAGGAAAGTCGTCATTACCATAGCCATCTATTACCCATCCGAGATTTTTATCCAAATAATGAAAATAAACAAGCGTAAGTACGTGTCGTACTCAACAAGTGTAACATGGGGTTCATGAGGCTCAAAAGGCTTGACACAGGTTTAACAACATTCAGCTTTTAGTTGTCACAATTTTAGCATAAGAGTAGCAACAAGTTGTTTCAATACTAAAGTAAAACACATGATCAATGTAAACATGAATAATGAATATCATAAACAGATAATTCTTAGTGATCATCTATTCCATAAATGTTCCAAGGCCGCTCGTGACCGTGAGCACGGTCGATATACCAGTTTTACACTCTGTAGAGGTTGTACACTTTCATTGTGAGTCGTGATTTACCCTTTCGCCCGAGGTCGCGAGCCTCTTAACCCACTACCAAGAAAGGTCGGCAGGGTTCACTACGAAGCCTTTCAAAGGTTTGTCTAACAAGTTAGGGCCATTATATTCACTCGGCAAACAGATGTAGAGACCCCCTTCCCGATGGAACATTGACGCGCAGCCTATATACATGGGGACAAAGGCTGCACTATACTCGATTCGGCAAGCCATTCTTACGCCAATAAAGGTAACCACTAACAAGCTAGAAAAAGTTCTCATACTGAGCTAAAGCCAGAGCTATATAGCCCTCACAACTGTACTGTAAGTCCCAGATGATCACTTGCAGATAAGTCCTTAGGGAGAGGAATCTAGAGCACCATAAAAACATCCTAATGCTCTAGCCCCCTGGTTCCATGTTGCTAAAAGTCATATTTTAATATTTATTGCATATACCAGTAGTGAAGTTACAAGATCATGGTTTAATTGAGCACTAGCAAAGCTACCCAATGCATATCCCGTAGGTGACAAGGTATAAGTTCAATTATAGAGAAATCCCTATCAAGGTGACACATGCAACATGAATTGAATGTATTAAGGTGAATAGGAAACAAGGATAATCCCATGCTATACTTGCCTTGAACAAAATCATCGGCGGTCTTGGACTTGATGACCACATCGTCGATGTAAGCTTCGACGTTGCGGTCGATCTGTTGATCGAGGCACATCTGGATAGCCTTTTGATAAGTTGCCCTGGCGTTCTTGAGTCCGAAGGACATGGTGGTGTAGCAGTACGCACCGAAGGGCGTGATGAATGATGTCTTGATCTGGTCTTCTTCCTTGAGAGAGATATGGTGATAGCCGGACTAACAATCAAGGAAGGAGAGCAGTTCGCAGCCAGCGGTGGAGTCTACAACCTCATCTATCCGAGGCAGACCGAAGGGGTCCTTAGGGCAGTGTTTGTTAAGATCAGTATAATCAATGCACATTCTTTATTCTTTATTCTTTTTTTGAATGAGAACAGGGTTTGCTAACCACTCAGGATGATACACTTCTTTTATGAATTCGACAGCTAGAGCCATTTTATTTCTACCCTAATAGCCTTCTTCTTGTCTGGCGCGAATTAGCGGAGTTTCTGCTTGATCGGTTTGGCGGTCGGCAAAATATTCAAGGAGTGCTCAATCTTCTCCCATGGTACCCCCGACATGTCTGTAGGTTTCCAAGCAAACACGTTGGCATTGGCACGTAGGAAGGAGACGAGCGTGCTTTCCTATTTGGGGTCGAGGTGAGCCCCAATCTTGATGGTCTTGGAGGGGTCATCGAGGCCGAGGCCGACCTCCTTGATTTCCTTGGACTTGGCGGAGGCGCGAGGAGGCTCCAGCTCTGGGATCTCCATGTCATCGGTGGGCACCAACTTGGCTTCGGTGACCACGCTAGCCATCTGGATGGAGAGGTCAGTGGCTTCGGCGAGTGCGAGACTCTTTGTCTCGTAGGCGTAGGCGATGGAGAGGTTGGCCCGCAGGGCCAGGACTCCTGCAGGCGAAGGCATCTTCAGCACCAGGTATGCGTAGTGCGGTATAGCCATGAACTTGGCTAGAGCTGGCCGACCAAGTATGGCGTAGTAAGCGGTGTTGAAGTCGACGACGTAGAAGTTGATGTGCTCGACGCAGTAGTTGCTTGCCGTGCCGAACTATACTGGTAGGGTGATCTCTTCAAGAGGTTTGGACGCCCTGCTAGGTACCACACCCTAGAAGGAGGAGTCTAAGGGTGTGAGATCTGCTATCCCGAGGCCCAACTCCTTTAGGGCTCCGACGAAGAGGAGATTCAGAGCGCTCCCATCGTCGATGAGCACTTTTCTGAAAAGCACTTTCTGGACGGTTGCGTCGAGCACGAGGGGGAAACACCCTGTGTAGGGGATGTCCGCTCACTGGTCGGTCCTACTGAAGATGATTGGGATCTTGGACCATGGGCGATAGCTGGGGTTGACGGCGGTGTCTTCCGTAGTGACGGCGAGCACCCGCCGGGGGGCGAGCTTCCGTTCTCTTCTACTCTTGGTGGAGGTGAGGCCCCCAGAGATGGTGGTGACCACCTTGTCGTGGTCTTGGAAGGCATTGTTATTGCCCCCAGGTGGTTGGCGGTCTCCAGCTGCATCGTTGGTGTCATCGTTTAGCTTTTTGTCCTAGAACTCCTTAGCCAAGCCGAGGCAGTTCTTCATCTTATGTTTGGCATTCTTGTGGAGAGGGCACAGGCTATCGAGGATCTTCTTGTATTGCTCATCGTAGTTGCGCTTGGCGCGAGGTTCATTGACGGCAGCAACGATGTGGTCTGGCCGGCGGCGGCGATTTTGGCCAGACTTGGGTCCTTCAGGCTGATCACGACCACTATCACAATGGTAACTGCGGTCGTCGTAGCGGCGGTCAGTGTGGCATCGGTCATTGGGGCGGTCATCATAGAGGCGTGTTGGGCGATGAGTGCCTGCATCCTCATTAAAGCGCACCTCGGCTTCCTCGGCGTCAGCGTACTGGTTGGCGGTCGTGATCATCTCGCCAATCCCTATGGGCGGCTTGCGGTTGAACTTGGAGCGAAGCTCGCGGTGGTGGAGTCCTCGAATGAAGGCGGTGATGACCTCAGCTTCCATGATATTGGGAATAGAATTCCTCATCTCGGAAAAGCGTCGGATGTAGCTACGGAGGAGCTCGGACGGCTTCTGGTTGATGCGGTTGAGATCATGCTTGGTGCCCGGCCGAGTACACGTAGCCATATAGTTGTCGGTGAAGACTTTTTTAGCTCTTCCCAAGATCCGATGGAGTCTGGGGCAAGGCTAGTAAACCAGCTCATGGCGGCTGGCGTGAGTATGATGGGAAGATAGTTCGCCATGACACTAGTGTCTCCTCCGACGGCGCGGACAGCAGTGGCGTAAGCCTGTAGGCACTGTGTTGGGTTCATCCTTCCTTTGTAGGGCTCGACCCCAATGATTTTGAAACCACGGGGCCACTGAAGTGTTTGGAGCGCCCTTGTGAATGCTGGGGGGCCCTCAGGGTTGCTGGCACCATTGTCTGTAGCGTTGCCGTCGGCGAGCGGCTCGAGAGCTGAGTCTGGGTTACTGTACTGTTGCTTGTACTCCTGGCGGCGGCGTACTTCTTCTTCATGGCGACCGAAGCGGCGTTCGTTGATACGTCGTCATGCATCTTGGAGATTGTTGAGGTGCACTCGGATGTCCTGGTCGACCTCCTAGTCTGGTTGGCGATGATGTTCAATGCGGTTGCCCCTAGCTCCGCCCTAGAGGGGTTGCCTATCGTCACGATGCTGGTCGGTGAAGCGACTTGGGCGGCGATCGGATCTTGTGGCGACTAATCGGCGAATCGAGGTTGTGGAGTAAGAAGGTCTCTGATCATGGCGGATCTCATTGACCTGGCAATGCGTCGCTTTAACCATTGTGGTGACCTTGGCGACCTCCGGTGTCTGCGGGAGCCGGGCGAGCTCATTGGCAGCCACGGCCAAGTTGGCGCTTGGGGTCTTGTAGACGTCGTGGCCGTCAACACGGACAAACTCATCGTCGAGGTTGCGTTGGAGTGGTCTTCCTTGCGAGTCAAGCTGCAGCTCGGCCCTCGCAAGGACAATCTTGTTTGCTCGGCACTGCACGCGATTGACGTTCTGGTTCTCGTGAGTGGCGCGTTCCTCCTCAGTTTTGCCGTTCCAAGGGGGGCTGTCGACGCTGACGTTGAAGATTGCGCCACCAAGGAACGGAGGGGGAAGTAGTTTGGTGGTCGTTTCGGCGATGGTCTCCGTAGAGCCTTGGGACTCGGAGTCCGGATTCTCCTCCGGGATGGTCTAGAGGGATGCTCTGGAGCGTCGACCGACGTGGAGCATGTTGATGGTCGACGGAGGCTAG